GAATCTGAGCGCTACCAAGGGAGCTGGGCTGCTTGGCGGAGGGTTTTCCTCTGCAACTGCCTTCAGCCTGCTCCAGTGTAGCCCATGTGCACAGCGAGGCCACCAGTCCGGAGGGCCGGGCCCCTGACAGGGCTCTGAGCACCCGCAGAGCCCCTCGCACGGGGCGATTGTCGGCTCAGTGGGTACCCAAGGAACAGGCCGGGGCTTGGGACCCTGTTTTCATTTCTTACCCATTTTTCCAGGTTTTCCTCTGCAACTGCCTTCAGCCTGCTCCAGTGTAGCCCATGTGCACAGCGAGGCCACCAGTCCGGAGGGCCGGGCCCCTGACAGGGCTCTGAGCACCCGCAGAGCCCCTCGCACGGGGCGATTGTCGGCTCAGTGGGTACCCAAGGAACAGGCCGGGGCTTGGGACCCTGTTTTCATTTCTTACCCATTTTTCCAAGAAAAGGCTCAGACAATGAGTAACGAAGTAGCAGGCTCATAGAAACCGTCACTACGATTTTCTCGCGGAGCCTGGGCCCATCGCGCGGCACCTCAGGGCTGCACAGAGCGCACTTGGGGAAACCCTGGTCAAGGGATCCTGTTAGCAGCACAACACAGACCCAGCTCAGGTCCCCACCCGGTCACCTGGGAGAACTGGCCACCGTCCCCGGCGCCTGCACCCGCCAGCAGCGCGTCTGGGGACAGCGAAAACCTTCTGTTGGCAGGAAAGGGAACCCGGGAAGACGCCGCCCCAGGCGTCCAAAGGCAGGTGACCCTAAGCAAACACTCCTCCCCCACGGCGCACCGGACAGTGCCCTTTGCCTTGCACTCCTACCTAGCGGCGGGGAAAGAACCCGCCCCCCGCCCCTCTGATCTTAGTGGCAGCGTGGCCAGGGCTCTGGAAACTTCCACGCCGTGTGCAGCCGCCGGCAGAGGGCAAAGAGACCGTCAGAGACCCTCCGGAAAGGGAGAGATCAGGCAAAAATATCCAAATGCCTCTGTGTGAATCCCTGGGCCGCCCACAGCCCGGGCCCCGCGGGCAGACGTGGTCGGCCCCTCCCCGAACAGATCTCTTGGCGCTGGAAAGGGTCAGAGAAGGGCAGCACAAAGAGTGGGGGTTTGGAACGGGGCTTACGGAGACGGGGCTTGGCAGCTCAGCGAAGGGGATCTGATCGGGTCCGTGCTGTCGCGAGGGTGCAGGAAGTGAATACGGAGCGTTATCGACTCTGTCATGACACGGGAACTAGGGGCCACGGAGCGAGCTGCGTCGCCGCGGGTTTCAAACAAAGGGAGTATTTCCTCCGCCGACAGGGCAGCTCCAGACGCCTGCACTGGGCAGCGCAGGGGGGGGGAGCAGCCCTGAGCAGAGGAAGGGCAGGTTGCGAACGATTTAGTAAAGCCGGACGTGCACAGACCCGGGGCCGGGTGGAATGCGCCCGAGGGTGCTGCGGGAGGAGGGGTGTTACCCTGCGACGAATCAGCTAAGTGAGTAGTTGATGGAATTTCCCTCCACTGCTCGGTTAGTCGATGAGGGGGAGGTGGGGCGCTCGCTATTCCCACGCCCCCTCTGCCTTTACATAAGAGCGGCCAGGCGGGGTCAGAGCAAAGGCCCGTCCAGCCCAGTGTCTGTCTGCCCACAGTGGTCAGAGGCCCGAGAGGGAGGGAACAGACCAGGGAACCCTCACGTGATCCCTCCCCTGTCGCCCATTTCCAGACAGAGGTTAGGGACCCCATCCCTACCCAGCCTGGCTAATAACTATTGATGCACCTAACCTCCATGAATCTATCTAGCTCTGCTTTGAACCCTCTTCCAGTCCTGGCCTTCACCACATCCTCTGGCGAGGAGTTCCACAGGTTGTGCACTGAGTGAAGAAAAACTTCCTTTAGTTTGTTTTAAAACTGCTGCCTATTCATTGCACTTGGTGACCCCTAGTTCTTATGTTTTGGGAACAAGCAAATAACTTTTCCTTATTCACTTTCTCCACCCCACTCGTGATTTTACAGACCTCTGTCATATCCCCCCTCAGTCTCCTCTGTTCTAAGCTGAAAAGTCCGGGTCTTTTAAACTCCGCGGCTCTTACAACATTGCAAAGGCTGCAGAGCAGCGGGGAGCGCGGGCGAGGGACCGAAGCCGTTCCCTGCTCACCCCGTGTTCCGACTGCTGCGCTTCTGCCTTTGAAATGTAGCAAGAGCCCCGCTCCCCGCCCCGCCTGCTGCAAAGGCTGCAGAGCAGCGGGGAGCGCGGGCGAGGGACCGAAGCCGTTCCCTGCTCACCCCGTGTTCCGACTGCTGCGCTTCTGCCTTTGAAATGTAGCAAGAGCCCCGCTCCCCGCCCCGCCTGC